TAAGAGTACAGTAATGAAAGGGGCTTGTGAGCTACAGGTTGGCATCTGTGAAAAGGTTCTCCCTCTCAGGGATCAAGATGCATTAGTCTCATTATTTGCAGACACTTGACAAGAGAAGAGCCAGAGCCAGGCAGCCATATAGGAAATGCAGTGTGGAGAGAGAAGGCAGCTAATTAGAGAAAACAAAGAAAGAGATCTTGACAATTCTGTTCTGGAAAATCCCTTTCTTAAAGAGGGCATTTCAGAGGTAAACAGAGCTCCCCGTAGATGTGACCTCCATTCAATGGAAACTTGGGAGGACACCTCACTTACCCCTATGTCCTGATTACAGTTATGTATCTGGTAACTGTTATAGTTGAAGTTGTCTTTTTTTTAAAAAAAAAAACAAAACAAAAACTTTCTAAGGTATTCTCTTCAATTCAACTCATAAAAGATTAAGGCCCAAAGTACACCAGGCTAGGTGCTGGCTCAGTCCCTAGAGTAGCTGGAGCTAAGGGACAGAGCGAGAGCTATAGAGACAGGTGTTCTGGGATCAGCTCCTTCCCCCCATCTCTGTCTTTGCCAAAAGGGTTTATGCCTGAGCCGTCACCTGTAGCCCTTGGATCTACTTATTATAAAGGCCTCTGGGAAGTTGCTTGGGATAGATTATCTATGATTCCAGAATAATTGGGTAAGACTATGAAATGGCTACAGGCTACAAAAGGATAAATCTAGTTGGAAGCACCCTGGTTCCAATTTCTGCCTCTGAACTTGAACTGGGTTGTTCACAAAGTAATCAGAGCTTGTAGAAACTTGCTACTTTGGAAATGAAAGTCATAAGAAAGGATGAAAGGGATTTTAGAGGGCGGGGTTGCTGTTCTAATAGAAATTCCCTTCTAGAAATAGGTTTATTTGGGAGGGGGGAGCTGGTTGGTTTTTTCCTTTTTTTTTTTTAAGACAAAGGAAAAAAATTCAGTAATTTGCCAGCAAATGAGGAGGTTGTCAGACTCCTGTCTTAAAGTATCAATGTCCTGCTTCTGAGAAGAAATATAGAGCTTGGAAAGGGAAGCTTCTGATTAATGCCATCTTCAGTGAAGACAATATTGTGACCTCTGCCCGGACAATTCCCTTGAGCCATCTCTGTAATACAAAGAACAAAAAACACGCTCCTGCCTCTCCTGACCACTGGCCTGATGCAGGCAAGTGGGTTTTTATTCCCAGGAAAAATTAGGGAAGTTTTAAAGAGACAGAAAAACTTTTTTTTTATTTAATACCCATTTTCAGGCCATTTTTCTTGTATCTGTTGGCCTTTTGTGTGTCTTATATTGAGCAATCCCTACTGAACTCCTTTGTTCATTTAAAAAATCCAATTATTTGTTTTCTTGCTGTTGAGTTATTTGGGTTCCTCACATATTCTGGGTATTGACAACTTATTAGATGTATGGTTTGCTCATGTTTTCATCTACTCTATGGGTCGTCTCTTCACTTTGCTGATTGTTTCCTTTATTGTGCAGAAGGTTTTGTTTGTGTCAATCCCATTTTCTGCATTAACTTTTGTTGACTGCATTTTAGGGTCATTCACAAGTTCATAATCCAGACCAAAGTGATGAAACTTCTCCATTATGTTTTCTTCTAGTAGTTTTATAATTTCATGTCTTACATTTAAATCTTTAATGAATTTGGAGTTGACTTTTTATATGGGGTGAGATAAGGATCCAATCTTCTTCTTCTGCATCTGGATATCCAGTTTTCCCAGTACCATTTATTGAAGAAGCTATCTTTTCCATGTTGTGTGTTTCTGGTCCCATTGTTGAAAATCAATTGACCGCACTATATAAATTTATTTCTGGGCTTTCTAACTTTTCCCATTATTCCATTATATATTGCATTATTGATTACTATAACTTTATATTTTGAAATTAGGGAATGTGATTAATACAACTGGGTTCTTTTTATATACCTTGTTTTGGCTATTGGGAGTATTTAATGCTTCCATACACATTTTTGGCATTTTTTTCCTTTTACTGTTAAAAATTACATTGGAACTTTGATGGGTATTGCACTGAATGTGTAGATCATTTTGAGATATTTTAAGAATATTAATTATTTTAAAATAATTCAGACTATTATGGGACTATGTATATTTTGGTTACATGAGTTTGAACCAAAGTTGTAAGTGTGCTCATCACCCAGATAGTGTGCATTTGACCCATTAGGTGTGAATTTTCCTGTTCCCTCCGCCCTCCCGCTACCAGCTTGGTTTCTGTTGAGTTTTACTACCATATGTGAGCATGTTTGTTGATTGTTTAGTTCCAATTTAATAGTGAGTACATGTGGTGTTTGCTTACCATTATTGCAATGCCTCACTTAGAAGAATCATTGCTAGTTCCATTCAAGTTCTTACAAAAAATTTTAGTTCATCTTTTTTTTTTCTTTTTTATTAAATCATAGCTGTTGTGTACATTAATGCAATCATGGGGTACAATGTGCTGGTTTTATATACAATTTGAAATATTTTCATCAAACTGGTTAACATAGGCTTCATGGCATTTTCTTAGTTATTGTGTTAAGACATTTATATTCTACATTTAGTAAGTTTCACATGTATCCTTGTAAGATGCACCGTAGGTGTGGTCCCACCAATTACCCTCCCTCCACCAATCCTCCCCCCTCCCCTCCTCTCCCTCTCTCATTTCCCCTTCTTCTTGGGCTATAATTGGAGTTTCACAGTAAGGCTGAGTACATTGGATACTTTTTCTTCCATTCTTGAGATACTTTGCTAAGAAGAATATGTTCCAGCTCCATCCATGTAAACATGTAAGAGTTAAAGTCTCCATCGTTCTTTAAGGCTGCATGATATTCCATGGTGTATATATACCATGTAGGGCTCCATAGTATACATGTACTACATTTTACTAATTCCCTCATGTGTTGATGGGCACTTGGGTTGACTCCACATCTTTGTGATTGTGAATTGTGCTGCAATAAACATGCAAATGCACATGCTTTTTGATAAAATGACTTTTTTCCCCCTTTGGGTAAATACCAATAATGGGATTATTGGATCAAATGATACTTTTACTTCTAGTTCTTAGAGGTATATTATTTTCCATGCAAGTTGTAACAGAAACACAATTTGTAAAAGGCAGAGGGAAAGTGGAGGAGAGAAGAGCTTCCACAGACAACTAGGGAGCAATCAGCACTTCTACTTTCCAGTCCCACTTGATAGGAGTCCTATATTGCAGAAAGCAGATATGGCTAAATGAAGCCAGTTGAAGTCAGATTCTTTGTTCATTTCTTTACTCTTTAGGCTCCTTGTTTTGTCCTCTTTGGATTGAGAGCAGTGGTTCTCACCCTTGCATTTTTTCCCCCAGGGCACATTGAGAAGTGTCTGGAGACATTTTTGATTGTCATGTCTTGGAGGTGTGTGTACTACAATTCTACAGAGAAAACAGGATAGATATGTATGTGTGTGAGTGTGTGTACATATTTATAAGATATTGAGTCATAAAATTATGAAAGCTGAGAAAATCCCATGAGCTGCTTACAAATGGGAGACCCAGAGAAGCTGGTGATACAGTTCAAAGTCTCAGAACTTGAGAGCAGATGGTGTGGATTTTAGTTTGTGTGTGAAGTCCTAACAACTGTAGTGCCAAGGCTACAGAATATGGAAGATGGAAGTTCCAGCTCAGGCATTCAGACCGAGAGGAAGCAAATTCTCCCATTCCCCAGCTTTCTGCTCCAACCAGCCCTTCAGTGGATTGGATGATGCCGACCCATACTGGGGAGAGCCAGCAGTTTTTCTCAGTCTATTCGTTCAAATAGAGCCAGTCTACTGGTTTGCTCTGGAAGCACCTTCAGAGACACACTGAGGACCAATGTTTAACCAGGTATCTTGGCATCCCATGATCCAGTCAGTTTAGCACAAAAAGTGAAATACCACAAGGGTTGTTACTGGCATCTGGGGTGGGGGAAGAGATCAGAAAGTTGCTAAGCATCCCACAGTGCACAGGGAAGGCCCTATAACAGAGAATTATCCCATCCAACATGCTCATAGTGCCAAGGTGAAGAAACTTTGGTTTAGACGATGCCTAATCTTTCCTTGCTAATTTTAATTCTCTTGCTGGAGTCAACAGTAGTGATTCTTGCTGGAATTTTCTGGTATCCTGACTGGTTTTCCCAAGTCTGTCTTTCAATGGCAAAACTATTCTGTCTGTCTTCCTAGCTGGATCAAGAAAGGAGGGCAGATTTCTCAGTTGGTGAAGGCAGCAGGTGCCTTAGGCATTCTCCCACCACATGGTGCCAGACTCTGGTATAAATGGCAGGCTTGCAACAGAAGGCTGGTTTCATAACTTACCTGAGAGCATTTATAAAATCTTGGTGTTGACAGCAACAGGTACTCTAAGCAGAGCACAGAGCACCTGATATGCTGTGGAAAAGAGACTAAATAATTAAGTGCTTTATTTTTATAAGCTTCTTGATCTGAAGGTCATTACTCCTCTTTACCAATATATCTGGAAGAAAGTATACTCAGTGGAAGTCTTGTTGAAATGAAATACACTTCTGAACCAATTTTCTATTCCACCAAAGACTCTTTAATCACTGAACTGAACACCAGAAGTAATATAATGAGATAACAAAGTGCACAATATTCTAAGAAATTGAGTTTGTGTTTCTCAGACACAAGTCCACATAATTCAATCTAAGAAAACATAATAATTGTCAAGCTTCCACCATAGACTTAGGCCCTATCTTCTAGTAATAATAAAAATCTTTTTTTTTTCATTTACAAAATTAAAAACTATTCATATACCTTTTGTCTTAGTTCTCGTGCATTTCCTTTGTCAGACACACATCCAAAGCCCAGCTTGAAGTAGGGAATTAGATAGGACCAGTATAAACAAGCCAATTTGTGGAGACCTCAGAGGGTAAAATAGTATAATTGGAAGTAAGCTTGCCATGGTCGGAACTGCTGCTGTCAGTCTGGAGGAAAACTCTCCTCAGGTATCTGCAGAATGATGTCAGCTGCTGCCCTCAAAGCTGCCATTGTTCTGGCAAGAATGAAAATACATCGGGCTCATGGGATCAGACACATAGCCTGCATCAGAAAGGAAGTTCAGTTATTACCTATTCACCTTTCATTGCATCCCCAGTTTTTTTTTCAACCAGCCTGACCCAGTATAATCCACGGATCACCAGGGTAGCTCTTCCCTATCATGTGAGCAGAGCCTGGACAACGGTTGCTGGTGAGTAGTTGTAAAGAGAAAATGAAATTTATAATGAAAACAGAAAGCTGAGACCAGACAAATATAAAATGATGGGTATCTGATTTGGACCTAAGCTGGCCAGGTAGCTTTGGGGGTTTGAACTAAAGAGAGGTACAGTTCAGGGATGCTGTATGTCATGATGGGCTGAAGGCACACAGGCCTTTTTGTTGGGAAAATCTGGGTTCACCTCTTGCTGGCTCTGACTTTGTCAATTAACTTTCTAAGCCTCAATGTCTTCATCTGTAAAGGGGAGAAATAACAGTACTTATTCATAAGGTTGGCAATGTGCATATGGCAGTTAGCAGTGTCTGGTACACAGTGGGTGCTGCACACATTATGGCCGGAAAGGGAAGGTGGAGATAGCAGTACAGAAAAAGGAGAGAGCCTGGCTCTGTTTGTCTTCTCTGGTAGGCCAGGTTTATATGTGTGCATCAATGCCGAGGTCTAAATACCAGTGGCTTTGGGCGCCCTTTGGAGCAGCAGCCCTGGGCGTGTCCAGAGGATGGATCCTAGTGAGTCAGGATCAGGCCCCTGTCCTAGGGAATGGCAAGGGCATGGGCAGGGCAGCCATTAGTGGCCAGCTCACTCTGAATGGGGTCGCCACTCATGGCTTCTGTGCAAGTGCTTGTCAACAGCTATTGCTGCTTGTGTTCCCTTTGATAGCTGAGTTTTCAGAACCAACTCCGCCATCTACATTTTCATTAAGACATCTAGCAACATGCACTTGGATATTTTTATTTATTTTCATAAGAAAATTCTCTGTCAAAACGTCTTAGACAGCACATAAACTCTCCCAAGAGGAAATGCCATGGCTGCAGATCCTGCTGCCACCTGGCCCCTCCAGCTTGCCCCGGGTGAGACTGGCACTGCACAGAGATGTTGGTGGGGCAGGGGAAGGGAGAGGAGGCAGGAGACACGTCACTGAATCTGGATAGACAGAAGCATAGTCCACGTCCTAGAGCAGGAAGTATTTCCTTTCATCCAGCCTAAAACAGTGACTTCATTCTAGATATAAATAGATTCTTTAATAAGCTGGTAATCTTTTTATGACTGCAATCAAACTTCCAATGCACCCCATGTAATATTCCTGGCCTGTGATGCCCAGCGCCTCCCCTCCCACAGGACTGCAGTGAAATCAGACACACATCCCACCAGTGTGGGCAGGCTGTCCTTTGGGATGGGTAGCAAAACCAGCAGGGGATCGAGGCTGGCATTCATTCTTGATGCCACTGTTACCAGAGCATAAGATCAGCTGTGTTGGGCTTGGGTAGCCACTCAGAGTGAGAGGGACTCAAGCCAATTTTGACCACAGGCTTTAGGAAGACTGAACCAGGCCTGCATGTATTGTCACTTTTGGGTGAAAAGTCTTGGGTAGCGAGAAAACAGTACTGTATTTAATTTTATCTTATTTTATGTTCATTCTCTAGCTCAGCTCTTTGGAGGGAGAAAGAAAGAGCTCCTAAAGTTGCTATTACACCACAATCGGTTTATAAAACAGAATTGAGGGCAATTAAAGGGCTCTTCCTCATATGATGTGATGTCCCGAGCGGGAGATATTAGATATATCTTCCTTGTCTGTGGGGACTCTCACTCCATCCAAACACCCTCATGTTTTCTTCTATCCCTAGCACAGATATGCATAAGAAAACTCAACTTTTGCATTATTATAACACATCTGTCTTATTTTTCCATCTGGAGGAATCTTGAAGCTCTCTTTCTTTAAGAAACAAATCTTCCAGTTAAAGAAATGCTTCATCTTGAAACTTCAGCGTGAAAGGGAAGGCTTCTGGTCAAAGCACACGTTTCAAAAGGCGCCCTGTATTTTCAGGCTGTGAAATCACGTCTGTAAAGGTTTGGGGAAATGATATTATATCTATCAAAAAATGTGATGATGTGACACTGGAGCACATTTTCCCCTCAAAAGCATCTGTTCCTGGACCGGCCAATTAGGTTGTGAAGCTGATGATGAAAAGCAGGGAGCTGCACTCCAGACGCCTGTTGGGAGGCAGGAGCACAAAGTTTCCTTTCTTTAATGTACCCAAGTAGTTTGTCTGCATCCATCCAGGACGTTTCTTCTCCTTTTCTTCCCTAAAAGCTTTCTGATGCCTTAGTAATGACCCTCGGCGGATGGGGTGAGAAGCCCAAAGCCAGCGGTCTGCAGGGTCTGTGGCCACCTACACCAGCGAGCTGGGCACGCGTCATCCAATTTATTCTTCCCCAAACCCGGCACTTGTAATAAATCTGATCTATTTAACTGACACACATTTTTTCAGTTCTCCACATAGTCAAAGGAAGTTGCAATGAATAAATGGGCCTATTGTGCTAAAATTCCAATTAAGTATAGAGCCTCTCAGGCTTAAAGGTTGGAGAAAGGACACCCCAGCCTAGCACGTTGATATGGCAGCCGATGATAAGAGCAATTGTCCATCCTCTGGCTTCCAGAGGCCTGCAAAGAGCATTGTTAATTATTTCAAAGAGCTTTATTAATTCTCTCTGAAGCAGGCTTGTGCAAAATGGATCCCACCAACTCTTTCCTCACCTCCTCTCCTGCTGTTTGAAAGAAGGGCTGGGTTTACACTTTACCCCAGGTGCCTGACTAGGGGGGAGAGAACTCTCCCAGCATGTTATGTAACTGTGGAAGCTCATCTCTCGCTTTATGTGGAGCTCAGAAGTAGTGCCCTTAGCCAGGTCCTGGGGAGCATTGGAGACGAAGCAGGAGAGGCATCCTGCACACACGCTCACACTGATGCCCACACGCCCAGGCAAACCCACACGTGCTCACACACACCTGATTTATCTTAACAGCAAATGTAGAGTTAACAGAAAATGCGGAGTTAAAAAAGACAACAAGGCCAGATTTTGTCCTTGTATAATATAATATTTTTAGAGCATCTTTCATTTTTAGATATTACAAGATATAATGTTGTCCCCTTATTTATCAAGTAGAATCACCTTCGTGGGGGTAGTTTCCTCAGTAAATCTAAAGAATCTGTCTACTTACTGTATTTGTCAACTGGCGAGTACTGAAGGCCCCTTTTCACGTCCTCCAGAGACAAGCCTTGGGAGGAGCATTGTCCAGCGCTGGAAAGTTAATGAAACACATAATTGCATGCTGTGGCCATTTGCTAAAAACATTTATATAAAACAGAATGTATCCAATCAGCCTAGATCTCCGAGAAATAGCCACGTGATACAAATACATTTTTATCTTCTGAGTGAGGAGCTGGGGAAGAGTTCAGAACTCTTTGGTATAAATCGGATCTAAGTGTGAGTCCTGGTTGTTCACATAGGTTACAGTTCCTGGCACTATAGCCTTAGGCATAACCTTTTCTGAGTCTCAGTTTAGTTCTCTGTACAATGGGAAAAGAATATAAATAAATTCCAGTTTGTTTTAATGATTAAATATTAATAAAAAGGAGTATTGAATCTAAATCGGGGTTAATATGCTTTGAATCCTTACTAAAAAGAAACTAAGACAAAGAATATTATTATCTTAGCAGTGATATAAAAAAACACATTCAGAGAAGCATTATTATCATTATGTCGCTATTTTTATAAGGATGGTTAAAAGATACAGTGGTAACAAAATGCATTGCATGACTCCTGTGTGTTAATCATTTACATATATCCATCTCATTTAATTCCTATCACTATTGTATCACTATGATATCATTTTTCTCATTTATGAATAAGAAAATTGAGCCCAGAGCAATAAAATAACTTGTCACACAGGTTTGGTAAATGGCTCATCTAGGATTGAAACCCTAGTCTTTGAGATCCCAAATCTTATGTTTTTGTCCCGTCTCCAAACACTCTTACCATTTTGGTTAATGGGGTCACTTCCTTTCCTGTTCACCAGACTAAAACCTGGAATTATCAAAAACCCTCTTCTAGAATTTAATTGCATCTGTGAGTTGACCATAGATCTTACTATTTCTCGAATGTGTTTGTACTTTCCCATTCTCTAAGTGGTTACCCTAGTTACCATCAGAATGCCCTCACTGTGTCTGTAGAAGACTTCACTCTCCCATCTCGACGCCAGCTCTCTCCATCACCGTCAGGAATGTTATGGTACTCAGTGACTTGCACCAGTATTCCTGGGGCCATCCTGGTTAGTACCTTTCCTCACACAATGCAAGTGTTTTCAGCTCTGCCTTCAAAATGTAATCCTAATGCAGCCCTCTCCCCTCCTTCCCGGTCTAGGCCACACAATCCTTTTCTTTGTCTGGACCTCTGCCATTTGCCACCTCATTGATCTCCCTGCTTTCACTTCTGTGCCCTCAAAGTCCATTCTCCATATGTTGTCCAGAAGGATCCTTTCACTCCCCAGTTCATTCGGAATAAAACGCAAACAAATGCTCTGCGCTTGCCCACAAGGTCCTGACTGCCTGCCTCTCAGTTCTCACCCTGTGTCCCTCTCCCCATCTTTGGCTGAGCACTATTTTTTTGGAATTTGTTCTTTTTGTCTCATGAAGGCTCCAAGCTCTTTCCCAGTTCAGAGCCTTTGCATTTGTTAACTCTGCCTGCAAAGCTCTCTTCACCAGCGCAAGTCCTGTTTTGCAGAACCCTGTCTTTCTTCACCTCTGACTGGCTCTCCTCTGTCGTTTAGGCCTCAGTGCAAATGCCACTTTCTCTGCAAGGCCTTCGCTGGCCACCATTACTAAGTGATCCCTCCTTTGTCCCTGTCACCCTCTATCACATTATATCACCCCATTTCTTCCTTTCAGAACAATGTAAAATTATCTTGCTTATCGATCTACCTCCATGTTCTTCCCACACAGTGAGGGGGAGACTCATCTCGTGTTCTCTGCTATATCCTCAAAACTCAGAAAGGTGCCTGGCACAGAGGAGAAGTTTTTAATCAATTAATAGATCTCTAAAGGGTGTCCTCCCCTCCAGTCACTCAAACACCATCCCTCGCCACCAAACAAGGTGTCGCTGTAACACCAATCTTACCCACACTCCCTCCTTTCCCTTGCAGTGTCTCCAGCCTGTGCTCCAAGCCCTCTACAAGCCACTCTCCCCAACCCAGGTTCCACGCATATCTGGTGTTCTACAATTGCTCAATAGATTTTTTTTTTAATCAAGTTCAACCTGTAGTAACAGGCACTGGATTTTCCAAATAATCCTGAATTTCTTCTTACCCGTGATTGTGGCTGAGTTGCTCCCACTGCTGAGATCTACTTGTTGACATCTTATTTATCCTGTCAGGAAGGACTATGGTGTTAGGGTCAAGAATGAGCATTCTAGAGCCCCAGGCCTTGAATTTGAATCCTGACTCCATCACTTACTACTCGTGACCTCTGGCAAGTTATTCAACTGCTCTCTGCCTCAGTTATACAACTATAGAATGGGAATTATAGTAATACTTAGCCTGTAAGATTAATAGTAATAATTTAAACAGTTAATACATTTAAAGGACTTTGAACAGTGTTTCTATTTAGTAAGCGCCCAATCAGTGTTCCCTACCTTTACTATTCTTCAATGTCTAGCTCAAAGACAGTATTTTCCTTGAAGCCCCCTTGAGAACCCCCATCAGAATTAACCTCTGCCTCTTCTGTATGTCTCTAGAACTCTGTACTCCCAGCACAGTGCTTACCAGAGTCTGCCTGGGTGTAGAATTATCTTTATTGCTAGCGAGTTCTATTAAACAGTGAGCTCCTGGAGGTCAGACACTCTGTCTAATATCTTTGGATCCCTGTAGGGTCTAGTCAATACTTTATACAAACCTCTAGTTAAAATCAAAGTGTATTAAATTAAATAAAATTAAGTTATTCCAAAATGCACATTTAGACACATATTTTTTTTCCTTCTGAAAACTAACATTAGCTCACACTGATGAATTCACTTAGTTGCCTTAAAAATGAGTGCACCTTTGGTCTCACTTCCCCAAACTGTAGAGGTGCTATGTCTTAGAGGAAAGCAACGATTAAAAAGAAGATAGAGTTTTGCTGAGAGAGGAACACGATGTGATCTCAGTCAACATTAATTGGCCACAGAATGTTACACAGATAGTTTTCAAAATATAATTCCTTTGTCAATATATGTATCCTCTTCAGCACTCTCGCTGCTCTTGAGAAACGTGCTGTGCACAGTAGTCTTGGCAACACAAAGTGACAGGGAATAAATATTTTATCACCAAAATGGCTATCTGATTTCCCATGAATAAAAGCCCATCTCCAAGCTGCTCTGTTTGTTCGGTTGCTGAATGCAATTTGCACCAGGGGACTTACAAGAGATAGGACGTAGGCCGGCTCCAGATGCTGGTCTAGGGTGACAGATGGAAGCTGAGCATGCCCAGGTCAAACAAAACAGAAGAAACCAGACCCTGAGCAGTGGAACTGGTTGTTCTCAGCCCATGTGCATCCAGCAAGGGTTCCACAGATGTGCAGAGTGTAAGAGGCACGTCAGGACTCTGTTTGCTGAGGTCGTGGTCAGTGAACACAAGGCCCTCCCAGTGACGCAGCTGCCCGTGAGTTCAACAAAAGCAAGCGTGAACTAATGGCGGGTAAGGAAAGCAGCACTCGGCGTATTTCAATATTACTGGGCAACTAGTTAGTTTTCTTTATTGTAAAAAGGATGATACATATGAAGCATGACAATTAAGTTCACAAACTCGTCCTAGAAAAAGTGCTACATGCCTCATTACTGAATAGAAGTGCTCCTCTTGGGAAGCTGTGCATCCATGCAGCCAGCACAACTGTCCCTCCCCATACCAGGTCTGGCAGTAAGATCATGAGCTTGCCACTGTGTGGCCTATGGTGGCAGCCTTGTACAAACAGCTGGGTAAGTTTCATAATCTTGGTCTCACAGCTTTGTTCATGTGGGTATGTGGTGGGGCTTGTTATTGCTGTGTTTTCTGTGCTGTTTGATGACAGCTCTAATGGTCATTCCAGAAAGAAAGAGTTCCAAAATTGCTTTGAAGGGTGGAGTGGACACTGGTGTCAGTGCATGGCTTCCCAAGGGGAGGACTTTGAAGATGACTGTAGTGATATTCAGTGATAAGGTCTGTAGCACTTTTCTAGGATGAACTCGCAATGCTAACTATCAGACCTCATATCATAGATGGGCATATATATGAATGACATACAATTTACCATACGGATACTTTCGTGTGTGTGTTTTGTAAGTTTGGAATGAAATTTTCTCTTTTTAAGAGTGTCTTTAGGTTAGTTTTTGCATGTACCACATTATATTGGTCTCTTATTTTAGCACTGAAATGTTTGTCATTTTAGGCCAAACAAGTCAAAGTAGCTTTGTGTATATGTGTAAAGAGAAACATAATCATCGGCTATTGGCTCTTATAAAGGTGCTCTAATAAATGAATAATTTATTCAAAATGAACTGTAGAAACAAAATTTAAGAAAATATTTGATATTTCTTTATCCACACATTAGGTATGTAGACTTCTTAGTAAGCATCTGCTAATTAATCCAGTTCACATTCAGACCCACAATGTGTAGTCTGTATTGTTGTGTGGGCCATGTCTTGTCGGAACAAGTTAGCCTGTTTGCGAAGGATCGCATCGTCTGTGAATGGTCTCCGAAACCTGGGCAAAGACAGGAAGGACCCAGGGTGCTTAAAACTAATGACAGAAGACCCGTGAGAAATGGAAGAGGGCTTACAAGACAAGGTATGCAAATGTGGTCCCGACTCACCAAAGTGCAGTAAGGCAGAGTCTGCACAATAAGCTAGTGAGTTAACAGATTTACCAGGCAAAGCTCCAGAAAGTAATAATTAAAACAAAGCTTCACACACATTTAAAAAAAGGTACTGACTGTTAAACGCTACTGTAAGTTCATTAAGAAAAGAAAATCATTCTATATTTGCCTTGTTTCTTTTTGGTGAAGGTAAATGTAAAGGGGGAAATGAATAGGCTGGAACACACAAGGAAATTCCAGACGGCCACTGGACGGAGTTTCTCCTGACTGCTTTGTAAGAAAGGCAGATATGTGCCAGACTACAGTGTTTAAGTTGAATTGTTCCTGGTTGAATATCCAGAATGGATGCAGACTTCAAGTACTGGAAACATTCCCTACAAATGACCTTCCCACGGGGTTAAATTGAGCCTTAGATATTGA